AACTCCTTATGGAACGGCCGGAGGCACGGGAAATGTATGCAGCTCTGAAGGATCAGAAGGAACAACTTCTACCTATTTTGGAGTTTTACAATAGGGATTTATGACTTGTTTATTATATTAGACAGTTCCATATGTGTATGTTTTATGTGACCAGTGAATTGTTATATGAATCAGACAACTCTGTAACTTTTATAAATGTTTCGTAATTTCTACGTAGGAATTCTAAACTTTATGTGTATGTACACAGGATAAAACGAATATGGATGATGAAATTAAACATGTGGAAGAGCATGCTAAGGGACGGAAAAAAAGGGTTAACAAAGTTGCAGCATTGGTTGGTGCATACGCTACTTTGAACTTGTGTAAGGAGCCTCGGCATACAAGTGCTTATACAGGTTGCATATGGGTAAGGGATGTTTTAGATGGCAACTCCAGTTGTTGTTATAACATGTTTAGGATGGAACGGGATGTGTTCTTAAGTCTGGTGGAACAATTGCAACAACATGGTCTAAAAGAAACTAAAAATATATGGATACATGAATCAGTTGCAATGTTTTTACATACCGTTGGGCATGCACTTAGTAGCAGAATGCAGCAAGAAAGATTTCAACATTCAGGGGAGACAATTAGCAGACATTTTCATAATGTCCTAATGGCATGCTGTAGACTTGCCATGTCTAATATCAAACCAAAAGATCCAACATTCCGGCATGTTCATACAAAAATTCGGTTTGGTAAATACTGGCCTTTTTTTAAACATGCTATTAGAGCAATTGATGGCACACATGTTTCCTGCGTTGTCAGTGCAACAGGTCAAACTAAATTTATCTCTAGGAAAGGAACAGTGTCACAAAATGTCATGGCGGTTTGTGATTGGGACATGTGTTTTACTTTTGTCTTGGCCGGATGGGAAGGTAGCGCACGTGATGCTCGGATATTTGATCATGCCCTCACAACTCCTTCAATGAACTTTCCCCATCCACCTGAAGGTATTTTTTTATTTCCTACATTTTTTTTATTTAGCTTAACAATAGAAACATAATTTACAATAATTTCATTTTTTATATAGGAAAATATTATTTGGTGGATGCTGGATACCCAACACCGAATGGATATCTCGGCCCATACAGACGGGAGCGTTACCATTTGCCTGATTTTCGAAGGACATCTGGGTTTGAAAATGACAATGAGATCTTTAATTATTTCCATTCAAGTTTAAGGAGTACAATTGAAAGAACTTTCGGAGTTTGGAAAAAAAAGTTCGCAATCTTACAAAACATGCCATCCTATGATTTTGAAACACAAGTTAAAATCGTTTGTGCAACGATGGCTATACATAATTTTATTAGAACGACATCTATTACTGATCCTGGATTCGTTCAGTTGAAAGAAGAAGGTACTTATGCAGAAGATGATGATGATGGCGTTAGATTTTCACGTATACATTCATCAATTCAATCTTCATCTTACATGGCTCAGGTTCGTGACAGCATAAGAGACGAACTTATTAATTCAATACGAGAATAGTAGTCATGTCTTATTTATTTCCTTTTATCATAGATTGTAATATGTAGTTAAAAACGAAATCTATTACAAATGCTTTGTATCGATGCATCATCTTAATGATTATGACACTTCTTTATTTATATTTCTCTTATTAATATTATACCTTATATTCTCAAGCTAATTATTACTTACTTGAATAATTAATAAATTATTTTAAGACGTGTTTATTCTATTTTATCAAACAATATCATCCCATTTTATGTTTATAATCTTCATGAAAAATACATGACTTTCTGTTTGCAACAAAATAATTCATCTTCTCTAAAAATATTTTTCACTCTTATATTTTATGAATATATATGTGTGGTGACAATTAATTAATTAATTGTATTAAACATCAGAGGTTATTATACATGTAGTATGTTATTACAAAAAGTAGTTGTGAAAAAATGTTATGGGATTTCACGTTTACAATCTTTAAACAAAATTAATATTTTTCTGTTATAAAAAAAATCATTTTTCTATAAACATATTTAATATTATGTTTTATAAATATATGTACACATATTAATTATGTATTAATTATATTATCTTATATATTATTAATTATGTTAGTAAAAAAATTTTCATTAACAATTTTATTTCTTCAAATCAAAATAAATCATAAAATCTATCCTTTATATAATTATCATATTAACTTATACCCTTTTTGGTAATTTCCACATGTAAAAAGCACTTCTGGTAATAATTATCCAAACACTCTCACTTCTCAGAATCACTTTTTCTCAGAATCTATTCTCCACAGAATCTATTCTCCAGAATCACTTTTCCAAACCACGGTTTGGTTTCATCCAAACACACCCTTAAAAGAACTACAAAAACGGATAGCCATTAGTATATGAACGAATTCTTGTACATCTCATTCTAAACCCTTTCAATGGAAAACGGAAGAAATTTTTCTGAGTAGGTGTGACTCCCGAGTGCTCCCCAACAACATCATCATGGAAATAGTTAACTAAATCTGAACGTAATCCACGATCAGCCCCTACGTCAAACTTGCCTTCGTATTTAAGAGGACCGATATCCCAAGAATAGAGTGTGAGGAGCTGGCTTGTGTTCCAAGTCTATAATTAGGCGTCACACATGGTGATCATGAACCCAAGATTCTTTGGCGTGTAGATGCAAAGAAGGGGTCGGAAAAGTAATGACACCAATTGAAGTGTCATGCTGACAAGACAAAGCATCAATTGTAATACTCAAATCAATTTTGTCTTGTATATTTATCTATTTTTTTAGAGTAATTCTGGTAGTAGTTGCATATATTAAATATTTCATCAAATAGAAGTTTTAGCTAACACACATAATTAGTAAGAGTATTTTAAAAAAGATAACACTTATTTATTATAAATAGTTAATTTAAATAATTTTTTTAATCTACTCAAATTAGTCAATTAGTTCTCATATTAAGAGTAAGACGTAGTATTCTATTTCATAAGTAAGGCATCAAAGTTTATTGAATTATCTCAGTTGATCCAGGGAGACAAACTTCTGTTATAATAGATGTTTCAATGGCAAATGATCTTTCTTGACAGTGAACACATGCCCCCCGAGACATGATCACCATCGCTTCAAGGCAAAATATAATTGCCATCAATTCAAGTCAATAAGCAAATAGGACTCTCTTGCGTGGGCTCATATCCTTGTTTGCAAATGACAAAGGATGGCCTAATTGTGTCAGAACAGCCCCCACGCTTCCTTGATGCATCCTTATCAATAATCATCTCGTGTAACCCGCAATAGTCCGCATAGAAATGTTATGGGCCATCCTTGTAAACCAAGACAACCGGCTCGGTAAATGGACTGTGACTGGGTCAAATAATACCTGTTTGAAGCATTTAGCGAAGATGCTTCCTAGGAGGTATTTGGGTAAAAACAAAACTATGGTTTCAGAAATGTTTTTATGGTATAAAAAGTAAATATATGGAGGAGTCTGTCTCGATTTGTGAAAAAATATATCTGGGGTTACTCAAACACTCTCTTAATCTCATCCTTTTGGAGATCTCCATAGTGATAAGGCTTGCAGCTTGCTGTCGATATCATGAGTGGGGGGGTTAGCGTCACTGGATTAGAGAAAACGTCTTAAAAAGAACAAAGGACCTCTTTGAGTTGGCATTGACAAGAATGGGGAAGGAAGAAATTTGGCACGCATTAAAAGTCTCATATGTATTAGACCTTACTTGGACCGAAAAGGGGTGTTAGGCGTATAACAGGCTGTGGATGTTCACATGGTCTTGGCGTGGCCCATTATCATGCAGACCCAGACCATGTAATTCATAATACTTTTCCTTATATATAAAAGCTACACTATATATATATATATATATATATTTATATATTTATATGTGTGTGTGTCTTTATTAGGGGTGTGCATGAAACCCAAATACCCGCTGAGCCAGCCTGAGCCTGAAGAAAAATTACCTAGCCCAGTCCGTAAAAAAAGAGCTCGAAAAAGAATGGGCATTTTTGGGCTGGGCATTTCATGGGCAGGGCTGGGCATCGGGCAGAACATGCTGCCCTGCCCATTTGGTCCTACCCAGATTATATATATATATATATTATAATTTATGAAATAATATCAATATATTACATTTCTTTACCAAAAAAAAAGTTATCTTACTCCTATTTGTAATTTAATTTATTATTGTAACATGTCTGTTAGTTTTTTATTTTAGGGGATCTAATTCTTCTAAAGAAGCAATAGTATCTTGCTTTTAATTTGTTCTTTGTGAGCTTTATTGGGTATATCCTATTGTGTATTGTTGCTGTAATGTTAGCTATTTATAAGCCAGTCTTCCTCTCTATGCTATTAACAAATTTCTTTATTAGAGAACGGAGTTCATACATTACATATTTATATAAATAAACAATTTTGAATATTTATACAAGATAGAAACTTTGTAATATTATTTGCTTTATAAAGTGGATATTATGTTTGCAACAAGAGGTAGTAATGGATTGAACTGTGTCCCACCCATTGAGATAATGTAAGGGAAATACATATTGGCATTTAGTTCATGGGGAGAGAGAAGATTAAGTTTCTGTGGACAGAAACATCAGAAGGTGATAGCATCTTATGACTTTTATGGTCCCATTGGTACGAGGGAGATAAGGATGAGCTGGATTTAAAAAAATTAAAAAAATGGGGTTAAAAGTTTTTAATTATTTTTGTTACTCTTTTATCTTGCATATTTTTTTACAAAAATTTTATAACCCCACTTTTCTAATTTTTTAAATTGGACTTATTAAAATTTTTCCTCCCCTCCCCTCCTTCTGAATTCCCTCATACCAAACATAAGGGTGGGGAAATGTGAGCTGGAAAATATTGACATCTCAAGTGGAGCAAGAGGATTAGGTTTAGCAAATGAGTGCAAACGTTAGCTAGAAAGGTTTGGTTCACAGCCTCACGCACTCGCAATTATATGTTCCGTCCACTTTTATATTGACGAGGCCTTGCATTATTGGCCGGAGAGTGCAATATTACAAATAAAACATGGACTCCATTGTTGGAGGAAGATCAAAACTCCACGCAGTAATTACGCCATTTCCAGCTCAAGGCCATCTAAACTCCTTCCTGAAATTAGCCAAAGTTCTTCATTCTAAAGGCTTTCACATAACATTTTTGAACACTGAGTACAATCATAGACGCTTGCTAAACTCAAGGGGTTGTAAAGTTCTTTCTAGCCTCCCTGATTTTTGCTTCGAAACCATTCCTGATGGGCTTCCTCCGACAGATTCTAATGTTACCCAACACCTACCTTCCCTTTGTGAATCAATCAAAAAGAACTGTCTCCTCCATTTTACAAAGCTTCTTGTGAAGCTTCATGATCTTGGCCCCCTAGTTACTTGCTTGATTTCTGATATTGGTATGACGTTTACAGTACGAGCTGCTCAAGAATTTGGAATTCCTATTGCTATTTACAGCCCTATCAGTGCTGCTTCCTTTTTGGGTCTTTGGCACGGTGGTACTCTCCTTAATAAGGGTGTCATCCCCTTGAAAGGTACCCTATACCAGTATTAATATTAAGGACAAAGCTTATGTCAAGTTTCTTATATCCATTTGGTCAAGTTCTCTAATCACACTTCTTGTTTTGTTATTTTTAGTAGTTAAAATGCATATATGCACTTATAGTTTCACCTATGAACACTTGTATAAATTTTTGTATCAGCTCATATGATGTAAATTAGGCTTTATAAATTTTCACAGGGACACTAATTATTATGCTACTACTAGTTGTTACAATGGATATGTGCACTTATAAATTCACCTTTGAAATATGGATACTTTGTTATTTTGTTATTGTTAGTTGTTAAAATGTGTATGTGCACCTGTAATAAATTTACCTATAAAATTAACTTAATGGATATAAATAACTTAACCCAAATTTTATCCACAAAATAAAATTTATAGTAAGTTGAACTGTTTACAAGTTTTGGATATATATTAATGTACTCCATTCTTTATACTCTACAATGCATAGGAAAACGTGTTGTGTAAGATACTTACACATACTTTACTATAAAGTGATAGATCTTTGACAACATTGTAGTATGATTCTTTTTCTATCTTTTCGGTGCAGATGAGAGTTATCTCACAAATGGGTACTTGGATATGGAACTAAATTGGCTTCCAGGCATGAAAAACATGAGATTAAGGGACCTTCCTAGTTTTTTTAGCACACTGGATCAAGATGACTACTACATGCTAAATCATTGTATCAATGAATTACAAGCTGCTCAAGCAGCTCAAGCCATAATTTGTAACACATTTAGTGAGTTGGAGAATGACACACTAGAAACTCTATCTTCTATGTTCCCTCCATTTTACCCCATAGGTCCTATCCCTTTGCTTCTCTCTCAAAGTCTACAAAAGCATGAGTTGGACTCCATTGGCTCCAATCTTTGGAAAGAAGAGGATGAATGCATCAATTGGCTCAATTCCAAGAAACCCAAATCCGTAGTTTATGTGAATTATGGAAGCATCACAATTATGTCCTCAGAGAAGTTGTACGAGTTTGCCTGGGGTTTAGCTAATAGCAAGAAACCATTCTTGTGGATCATAAGACCTGACCTTGTAAATGGCGAGTCAGTGATTCTATCTCCCAAGTTTTTGAATGAGACCAAAGATAGAGGCTTCATAGCAAGTAGGTGTGAACAAGAGAAAGTGTTGAACCACCCTTCAATCGGAGGATTTTTGACCCATTGTGGATGGAACTCCATGACGGAAAGTTTGTGTGCTGGGGTTCCAATGCTTTGTTGGCCCTTTTACGGTGATCAACAAACTAATTGTCATTATACTTGCACAGAATGGGGCATTGGGCTTGAGATTGATTGTAACGTCAAGAGGGAAGTTGTAGATAGGCTTATAAACGAGCTGATCGATGGGGAAAAGGGGAAGGAAGTGAGACAAAAGATCTTGGAGTGGCAGAATACTGCAAAAGCCGCAACTAATGCTGGTGGTTCTTCTTACATCAACTTGGACAAATTGATTCAGCAATTGTTGGTGGAAAAAAATATAAATTGAATATTGTGCCTCGTACGTACATGGAATATTTCATTTCTTTGGCTCCTGGAAGGTGGAAATGAAGCTAGTGTTTTGTAAATGGAACAAGGATCTTTAACTAGGCTTATATGTTCTTTGTTGCAACCATCTTAGTGGCGTGATAAGAACCAGCATAAATTTGGTTCATTACCCAAGGGATAACACACACACATACACACATAAATATCTTTCCAAATAAAGCTTAGCTTGACTTGTCCTTATTACATTGATTACAAAATAAGATCATGAGCCTCACACAAGTTAAGGAAAAAAAACTGTTCAAATTTTTGACGCAAATCCATGGTTTCCGTTAGACTTGGCAACCGTTTTGTCGGATCTGAGTGGTTTTATCTGTCATTTAAACTGAATTCTTTAAAATAACTAGGTTTGATGAACTTTCACCAATGGATATTTTGGTTGGGACTAAATTTTCACAATTTTTAAAACGACACTTGAAACTTTTGGTGTTAGATTAAGAGAACTACTTGCTCTAAAACATCCGAGCATTTAAGTAAACTCATTTGTTATAGGCTGTTTCTATTTCTTTTCAAGGTGAAAATTAAATGAATGCAAGTTGGTCGTACTTTATATTGTATTTTACAATCCACATTTTAGTATAAAAATATTATTAAAAAAAAAAACAGACAGTTCAGATCATTCTTCATGAGAGGACACGAGGCATATCATAGAAGCCTGCAGGCTGGAGAAGTAGTGTGTGGGCTACACTGGAATGCGAAGTACTCCCTCATGTTTCTTTTTTGGTCATTCTTCTTCTAAACAAATTAAATTTTGTTTGTTTTTATTTTTTTTCCCTATAATTTCAAGACAACATTAATTATCATGTTTCGTAAATTACTTATATTTTTTTGCCAGAGGTAAATCACTTATATTGAACCAAGAAAGAGTAGTTAAATTATTGATATTGTCTAAATAAAAATAAACTTCCCAATTTATCCTTATTAAATGCATCATTTTCAAACATTTTTTTCTCATATACAACCCCCTACTTTACAAATTGAAAAATAAACTTCTCAATTTACACATAACAAGGGAAGCCCAATTATCTTCATTGAGCCTAGCTCACTCTTAACAAACCCCTTATCTTGACTCTTTTTTTTTTTTTTTCTTTAATGGAATCCGGCTTGGGTGCTCATTCAGCGATCATCCCCTCTAAATTGTCCAGATTTGATCAAGGCGGTCTAATTAATTGAATATCTGTAATGAATTACTTTTGAATAAAAAATCATTTTTATAAAAAATAATAATTAAGATATTATCTTTATTTTAGATTCTATAAATGTTAAAATAATTATTCTAAAAAAATAAAAATAAAAAATTAAATTTGGATAATCCAAATCTAATATAAACGGTTCAAAGGAAAAAGATGAGCACTCAAACCGGATTCTTCTTTTGTGTGGCCTAAATCAAAAGAAGAGATTATCTTTATATTGGAGTTATGGAAAGAAACCTTGAAGTAGAAAGATTTTTGCTTGAGCAGAGCAAAAACAAAATATATGCATTGTAATTTTGTGAAGAGGTAAGTTAGCAGTGATTTGGAGGTTAAGATGAGAGATTAAATCCTTCTTCAAGCGTCAAAGTTAAAGTATTTGGGATCCATTATACATGAGGATAGTGAAATTGGAGATTAAATCATTTCTCAAGTGTCAAAATTTATAGAATACAAGCTAGGTGGTTAAAATATAGAAAAGCTACTAGAGTTATTTGTGATACGAAAGTACCTGATAAGCTTAAAGAAAAATTCAATCAAACAGCTATAAAACTAGCTATATTATATGATAGTTAATGTTGGGCACTAAAGAGAAAATAAGAGCATAAAGTTGGAGTAGTAAAAATGAGAATATTAAAATAGATGTGTAGTTATACAAGAAAAGATAAAATTCGAAATGATAATATCAGAGCAAGTGTAGACATGGCTCCTATCAAAGAGAAAATGATTGAATATCGTTTGAGGTGGTTTGGATATGTGCAAAAAAAGCCATTGGAGGCACCGATCAGAAGGGTTGATTAGACAATTTGGAGTCTTTTTCAAAGAAATAGAGGAAAACTGAGAAGAACGCTCAATAAAGTAATTGAACAGAACCTTTTGATTAACATCCTTACTAAAAATTTGGTTATTGATAAGACACAATAATATCATACGATCCATATAGCCGACCACACCTAGTAAGATAAAACTTGTTGTTGTAGTACTTATTGTTGCATTTATTTTTTTATAAATACATATACATTATAAATCACATGACACTGTGCCTGGTGGGGTGCTATTAGCTTTGTGTGGTTCATGGGCACCTTTCATGGTTGGGGGCTGGGTTTCAAATATGCCAACCGTTCCCTTTCAAATGTTTTTAATTTATCTAAATATAAAATATTACAAATTATGTAGTTTAAAACTAAATCTTTTATTGTCCGGCAAAAAAACTAGAGAAAATAACACATAAAGAACCTCAAAATTGCTAAACCTCAGAATGGGTAGCTAATATGCATAATTCCTATAAAAGAACCAATCCCAAAATGGGATTTTTAAAATTCAAGAAAAAAAAAAATACATACCCCAATTTGTTCAAAAGAAGAAAAAAAATGTCAATAACCATTTCTTCTCTCCGGTACCACCACCCTCTCTTGCGAGAGGAGTATTGCAGCGTCTGGCGACAAGTGGGAGGAATCTTCATTAGAATCTTTGTTTAAGTGTTTTTCAAAAATGTTAATAAATTTTAAGTGTCTCTTTAATTCTGATAAAAATGTTAGAAGTGACCTGTAAAATGTGTAAACACACAGCCATCTGAGTAATGGACCCTCCTCTTACTTGTTTCCGCTTGCTTGTAAAAGGTGGATTCCTTGTTTCCACTTTTCCCTCTTGTACTCTCCTCTTGTCTATCTGTCCCACTTTTAGATTTATGATATAATAAAAATTATAAATAAATAAATTTATATTATTAACATTTGATCCAAACTATTCAGAATTGCGGTGAAAAGAGTGAGAAAAATTACTTTATAAAATATTTTTCTTCATTGTAATTTTATACTATCTTGATCAAATTTTAATAGTTTAAATTTATTTATTTAATATTATAATAATAATTTTATAATATACTAAGTCTAGGTCGTTGATGATTAAACCTAAGGATAAGGAAGGTTGGAGGAGTGTACGATGGTGCAAAAGGCGGGAGAAGGGAAGCCCCCTGATTCCATGAGTAATCACCTAAAGGGGCTGCAGCATATTCCTGAATGAATAATGGGTTCAGGGTCTGTTTGGATCAACGATTAGAAAAGTAGCTTATTGAAAAAGTAGTTTTTGAAAAAGTAAAGTTGAGTAAAAGCTAAATTGGATAAGCTGAATTGTGTTTGGATTGGAGTTCAGAAAAGCTAGTTTATAAAAGTAAGATTAGTAAAAAGTTATTTGGATTATGGTTAAGTGAAAAGAAGTTTGGTTGTAAAATGATTAAAATAGGTATGAGTTTTAATAAATAATAAAACATGATTAAAAAAATAATTTCACATAATACAATGAAATTAAAATAATTTAATATGAAGAAGTCAAATTTAATGAGTGAATTAAATTTTAAAACTTTAGAGAAATTATAAAAGATATTTTAAATATAAAGGGAAATATGAAAAAATAAAAGTATATTTCTAGGAGCATATTTAAAAACAAAAGTATAGTTCTAACTTATTTATTATTTTCAACTAATTTTAACTGATTTTTTGTTATCTACAAATTAGTTATTTGAGGCTTATAATAAGAACCAAAAGAGGTAATAAATTTCTTAACTTTTTCCCTCTCCATGTTTTAAAAGTTATAAGTCATAAGTTATAAGTCATAAGCTCTTAATTTTAACTTATAGCTTATCTTTTGTGTTGGGCCCAAAAGAAAAAAATCATGAGCTCCGTAGCCTGGTGGCCCTAATCACCCAAATCGAAAAACATTTAACATTTTTTAGACAATTAAAAATTACTTATTTTTAAAGCTTCAGATATTTTGAGATCTGTTGTTCAAACACCTTTACTCTCAATTAAAACAAGGAAAAATTGCACAGTAAATTTTAAGTGTTTTTATAACCGTGGTTGAAAAAACAACTTTTGACTTAGATTGTCTAAAAACCATTACAAATAGCTTCTAAATTTATAAACTGACTTAATACACTTATAATCTATTTTTTAACCTATGAAGCGCCTTATCAAACAGGCACAAAATTACCCTTTAAAGCTTAAAAGTATCAAAAACTTGCTGGAAACTAATTCTCTAATGCCAGATAAAACTCGAAGATGAAACATAATCGTCATTTTTCAAATTGACCCTTCCACTCGTTAATCCTCAAAATTTAAAACTAAACATAATTAAGACCAAACATTTTTGTCAATAGATGCCATCTCTAAAAAGAAAATTACAATTAGATCCCACCCAAAAGAATTAAATACAAAAAAATTCCTTAAAATCATGAAATTATTCTGAAGTCTTAAGAGACCTTATTATAATAAATTTTATTTGTTTAATTACCAAATTATCCTTCTTTTTTTTAAAGTTTGCATTGATAACTGAAAGAGCAGTCGTTGACAACTTAAGGTGTCAGGATTGACAACTATCACGGTAAATATTGACTATATTTTCTCATCACATCATGTTAGTACCTGCCGCGATAGTTGTCAATCTTTACACTTTAAGTTGTCAACAACTGCTCTTTTAGTTATCAATACAAACTTAAAATAAAAAAATAATAAAGACAATTTGATAATTAAATAAATAAAATTTATTACCAAAAAATTCCATGAAATTTCAGAATAATTTCATAATTTCAAGAAACCTTTCTGTATTTAATTCCCTTGAATGAGACCTAATTATAATTTTCCCATCTCTAAATGCAGCGCCAAAACATACACGGCGGCGAATGAGGCTGCCCGGAATAATCCCAAACAGAAATAAATGTCATCTCAAATCTGCTTTATACTGGCCCAACAGGAGGGAAAAGCTTTTTAACGAGGCTAGTGAAATTAGATGATGCAGGTTTAACCACCAGAAGGATCTAGTCATTCAAAACCTGACGAATCAATATTCAAAACCTAATTAGAAGAGTTGTTTATATTTAATTCCTGACAGTGTTTTCAACATGAATAGGAGGACAAGCACATGCTTAGCAAAAAAATATGATACAGGTTAGAGTCACGTTTCCATGTTCACAAGCCACGCTCAAGAGTCACATAGCCAACAGAGAAATCTAAAATGAAGCTCAATTTTCTTGGTTTCTTTCATCGCCATTCTAATACACAATTTACTTACAACAAAAACAGGTTGCTCAGGCTAAGTCCTATTTTTCCCCATCCTGTTGCGGTGTTAGGAATGTATACTCGTCACTTGTAAGATAATTCCTAAAAACAAGAACATGTTTAAATTTCAGAAATCGATCAATGCATTAAAGAGACAAGTGAATCCACATCCATCCGTCTAATGCTTCAGCCTAAGCTTGGGACAAAAAGCTAGAATGATAGAGTCTCCATTCAGATAACTACGAAAAAGGAAAGCTTTAGATCCAAACTGATATTATGTTGCAGCAAACCTTATCGCAATTTTTTGGCACGTTTGGAGGGCCGCAATATGTCCTTTCTTGAATCCTCTGGAGGTCTCAAGTCAATGAATGGCTGAAGCAAACCATATATAGGAAAAAGAGGTGTAAGCATAGCATATAAACCAACTTAATAGTTACAACTCACATCAAAAACTCAGACAATCCTTTTATTATTGGAAATGGATGGAAACCTTTAGCATATTAAAGCAATAAAGCATATGATATCCTTGATGAAACCCACGTTAGAAGATTTTCAATGAAAGAGTTGAATATCTCCCCATGAATAAGCAAAAAGAAGTATCATCGGTCAATTCAGATATTATTATGAAGGTTTGAACCAGCACGTATCCTCATTAATCCCCTCTAGTCAAAAGGCCATCTTTCTAAACTACAACGCATTGGTGCATAAAATATTAAACGTCAAATGGAGGAAAAGAAATTTTCTTTGTCTAATTCACATTTCCAAAGAAATTTTCTTTCTCTAATTCACATTTCCAAATTGTCCTCATTTTATCTTGTACAATAAAGCTTCATTGTTGCTGAGTCATTCGCTAGATGTTTGATCTATACTGATTTCCAATATCATACAGCGGCCACTTCTCTAGAATTAGCTCCTCTCTTAGAAGAAAATCTGATAGGACCCAACTCAGACTCTAAACTTTTACTATAATAAAACAGATTACGCACGAAGATACAATCAAAAGCTAAAAACTCATTCCATTCATAGAACAAATACTACTTTGTTACACATTGAAGGGAGGACAACAGTTACAAATTCAGACGACTACACCACAGAAACAGAAACAGAAACAGAAACAATAAACAAAGACCCAAAGCAACACATACACAGTTAGGACATGCTACAACCAACCATGCTTGCCAACTTTCGAGAGGTTGGTTCTCTCCTTCCCCAAGGGCCAAGTTCAACTCCAAATTCTCCACTACCCCCTGCTGAACCCAAAGGAACGATTTATAGACCCCAAAAAGCAACTTTCACAAACCCCAACCCATAGAGTTTGACTATAGCAGTCCTATAGCTGCCCTACTCTTACTTCTATCCTTAGAATAGCAAGTCAAACTTCTGCCCAACCAAAAAGTGTTTTTCCTTTTCCATGAATTTTTCTCTAAACTTCCAAAAGTGATCCAAACAAAATCATATACACAACCAAATATTCTGCCATAAAATGATGTGACATTCGTTTGGAGAGTGACACTTATGTTAGGTGACACAAACTGTTGAAGATCTGGCAATTATATTACAACAATTGGTTGCCCGTTTCATCGTAAGATATCATTGTGAGCTTTAATTTCTGAGTTATGTAATTTTCTGCTTTCCTCTCCTGTTAACATCCCACTCCAAGTGTCTAAGCTACTCGACTGGTGCCTTGAGTTCTATCCACAAGTAAATAGCATATGTAGAACACTTGCCCCTCAAGCTAGACATGCAAAGGCTTTTTAGGAATATGACGTTTTTCTTTTGGTGACAAGAAATAACATTTTCAATAGGTGATTCATCTCCTAAATTAGTCCTGAAAAATATGTTAATGCTTATACTTCCTAGGCCTATGTAATGTTAGCATTTTGTTAAACTCCACAAACCTTGGTCATGAAGTGGCCGTAGTAAACCATTTTAAAATCAATTCTCTGTTGCCAGTTAAGCACTCCTCCTTGTACACCTCTCGCTCACACCCCTTATTTTACTAAGGAGAAAAGAAGAAGGAAACATTGACTCAACCTCCACCAGAAAACTTCTGCCGAAGAGTCCATCCTCACCAACATATTGTCTTGTAAAATTAAAATCTATTTGCTGCAACAGGTTCATCTAATTACAAGCAGGAATATGCTTCTAAGAATGCTTTGAAAGTAAAATCACAGATGGGATCTCTCAAACTTCTTATCCTTCAGGTTTCCCCTTCCTATTGGATTATGCATCTTGAGAGTTAAATGACTCACAAATAACAGCAATAAAGATAATACTCATACCGAACAGTTTGTCACCAAAAGAAAATGTCAAAAAACGAAGTAGCAACACATGTCAAATTGAGATACAAGTAATCAAATAAAGCAAAACTGCAAAGCAGGCATTGCATCTAACCTCTTCCCATTTTCTTTGAAGCTCCAATAGTTCTTGACAATATGAAAGGCATTCCGCATGATATACAGCAGCTAAATCTTTTATCAGGGCCTTCCTTTTGATGATACCAACCACTATAACGATAAGAGAAGGATGCATAAACCAACAGAAACTTTCTAAACCCTTCTTAAAAAAAAAAAAAACAAACGAATATATCCCTTACTTCCACAGTGCATAATAATAACAAAACTCCTTTTCAAAGGCTTCAATTAACAAGACACAATCTGAAGCTTACTGCCCTTGCCTCAATAAAGCACCAGCATTCAATCTGCCCAAGTTATAGAATCTTTTAAGGCTTAAGGCCAGTGGCCTTAGTACGTCATTCACCAGAACTATGAAAATGCAACTTATATTCAACAATCTATTAGACAGTACACCTATTAGACAACTAAGATATGCATGTCTGTCTATAATAAGTTGTGAGCGCCTCTCCCATCCACATATAACCACAAAAGACGCCACATATCATAAAAATTGATGGAAGCCAGAATTTACCCTTTACCTCTCTTTCTAATATTATTTACTCCCCCTGCCCCATCCCATTCGCAGCCACTAATCTTTTCACCACAAACTTTCTGATGCAAAACATTAAAATTAAAATAAAAAAAGAAAAAGAAAAAAAGAAAAAAACACTACCACTAGTTTCAGTTAGATTTCGTCCGTCCTACAGATGCTAACCCAAGAAACAATGAGATCCCTCCCCAAAAACACATAACACCTCCTTTTGTCAGTCAAATTCGTGTCAAAATAAGCTGCGGATGTATTACTGCACTTTTTTTCCCCCTAATTACTCACCAGACAACTAAAACCTGTCCCACCCAAATCGAAACCCTAAAGGAAATGTCAATATTCGCTGCAGTGACCAGATCCCCACAATTTCTGCATGCCTTAGCAAAGCAAACCAAATATGAAGAAAACACTTTTTTATGTAGGACCATCCTCAACTACCAAGCAATTATTTTGCACTGTAGTTTATGAAATTTATTCAAAAATAAAAGTGAACCAGGAAAATCGAAGAGAGAAAAAGGTAAGATATAGGAAGCCGTACTTCGACTGGGATCAAACGGAGGAGGAGGAGGAGCTGGTGAGGGCGGGGGATCAGATTCTGACAACGCAGAAGAAGGCTGAGTGGAAACGTCTTCGGCCATGTGTGCTACCAGCACCGGCGGACCCACGTTTTTAATCTCAGAACCCCTCTCAAATCTGTTCAAATCATTTCCCCCATTTCGCAAGTTCATAGAGCAGCAGAGCAAGAAGAAACTGAGGATGGTCTGTTTGGTTCTCGAGACGGCAGGAGAGGGGAGGGGAGGGATTTTAATTAGAAAAAAAAAGGGAAGGGAGAGAAGTCAATGATCCTTCTAGCTGGGCATTTTTACCAAAGGATTTTTCAATAAGGAAGGGAAGAGAACTAGTGGTAAGTTGACAATTTTAACCCTGTGGAGTTTAAGTTGGTTTCTATTTCCTGCTTTGATATATTATCATAATAATTAATAAGATATGTTTAACATGCTAAAATACTTTTTCAGTAAAGTTTATTATTCTAACTAATTTGTGGTTTATTCAACACGCTGCAATATTTTTTTAATAGAACCAGTATTGTAGTACAATTTTATCATTAAAGTATCTTTCTCAGTGGTAATAAGTATCCCAAAGTTCAGATACTAAATGTTGTTACTAAGAAAATGATTCAAGGTGTTGAATTCAAGAAAAAAAATACAAAAAAAATATTTTAGGATTCTGAGTGTTATTAAAAATATCTTATAATATTGGATAAATTACAAATTAATTTAGGATACTAAGTATTATGGAAAATGTGATAGATGTAACTTAACCTTGTATTATTAATAAATATTTATACTATCATTTATTAATTTCTTATTATAAAAATATGAATACTTTCAACTTACTCCCTCCAGTATAAAATATAAGCTAAACTTTATCCATTTATATTTATCAAGAAATTAGTTAAAATCAGTTTAAAACAATAAACATGCAAGGCATTTTTTTTTCTTTCCAAATATACCCTTGTTAATGAAGAGAATAAGTAAAAGATACAATAAATGAATCAAAGAGGAAAGAGAATATATGTGGGGTAAAATTAAAAAAAAAACTCATTAAATACTTAGACAAAAGTAAATGTTGTCTTATAAAAAAAAACAAAACCTCTCTAACAAAGTTTAACTTATATTTTGAACTGGAGGAAATACATTATAATTTTTTTGAAGACTTAATATATCAAAGGAGAATTACTATGCAGTCTCATATAAGTAATTTAATTATTATAAAGTTTTTTGAGTTGTCAATACCTCATAACCTATTATTATTTCCTAAATTGAATCTTATGAAGACGTGCTGTTCACTTGTTATAAGGATTTTTTTTTAATAATCATTAGTACTACATTTTGTTAGTGTCTAATGAAAAAAAAGTACTAAAAATTTATAGAAGAGAAGAAGGAGATAAGGCATAATTTTTTTTCTAATATCAAATGTAGTTTAGGATTTTTCAAAATATTGAAAGAATAATTTAGTCAATAAATATTTATTCTCTCACCTCCCTTATAAGAGAATCCCAGATTAGAGAGAATGGATTAGGAGATCCTCTAATTTTTGAACTAAATAAGGCGTTATGCTCTCTTCATCGCATACTAACCAGATAAGGGGAGAAAGTTTTGCTCCCCTCCTCTCCATAAGCCCCTCACCAAATGCTCTACCTAAAGGAAGAGAGGAGTGAGGGGAGATGATTGTATTGCTGAGCTTAGCATTTAGAAAAACTTTTCAAAATTTTTTGCATTACATTATTTCTGTGTTGTCCTCTCTATGACAAACATCATAGCTAAATGGAATTGCTCTTCAAAGGTCTTTTATGATCATAAGTGTCCTGCAACCTTATGAAAAACATCATTTAATTGTCTTGCATTTTTTTTAAGTTTGAAATCAACTTGCACTTGGATTTTTTATCACTCCTTTGGAGATTATTCTAAATTACATTGATTGTTTTGGAAATTGACTTGCCCATTTTGGGAATACAATGTCTTGATTAGTTGATGTTCTTAGGGTTAGCTTTTAATTGGTGTAGTCTTGCATTGTGGTTAGTCTCTATTCAAGTGATTGGTGAGAGTGAATATTTGAGGATTTGTCCTTGTTAAAAAATCATTTTGGTCTAAAATTTTCAATTCTAGTGTGTTTATTTACTTAATTTGGCACTTTTAAAATTTGTCTTGACTGATCTTAATCAAAGCCTCATGTGTATTTGTATAATGAACATGATAGAGGCATTCAATTCATAACCCATCAACACAAACATAAACCCTCTATACAAATTTATTACCAACGCTTTTGGACCATTCACTAATTGTTATGGAGAAATCTATGGCATCTTCAAATCTAATTTTGTTCACTAAAACAAAAAATGTATATAATGGAATTGTTCTTGTTGAATGTAAATTTGCTATGTAATTGAACGTATGCTACATGTGTTTTATTCTACAAGTGGTATTAGGTGAAAAATAGGATATCAATCAATCAACTATATTCTTCAAATCTTGTAATACCCAACTTGTTTAAAAATAGTCGATATGGCATTATGATATTTTGAATATATTTAATTAATGATATTTGAATATATTTTGATTGGAATTTGAATATGTTAAATTAAATGAGGAGCATTATAATTAAATAGGATTTTAGTTGAAGGCTCAAATAGAAAAATTAATAATTAATTTTGTATTAGAACAATATCTTAATTGAGATTTCAATGAATTGAATTAAATGTAAGTAATGTTCAATTTCTTATCTAATCAAATATACTAGTCTGTTGATCGCACAGAAAAGAAATTTTTAGTTACTCTGTAAATATCAATCTTTAATGACTCGTAACATTTTTTGGCCAAAAAAATGACTTGTAACATTTGCTATAAATAGAGAGCTTCATATAGATACTAATTAAATTTCACTCAAGGGTTTTATTCCCCTCTTATCTCTTTATTAGGGAATAATTGGCAATTAGTGATTGGTGTTAGAGTGGCTGATTATTCAAGAGGATGTGAATTAGGTGTTGATTAAAAACAAAAATCTTTTCACAATGTAGTGAAAACTATAAGAAACTCATAGTATAAAAACAATGAACACCAAAAGGTTACTAAGAGAAGAGTAATAGTTTAGCTGAAAATATAGAGAGGTATGGGAAAAGAAGATGCAAACTGTGATTTAGCCTGATTCGGTCTTTCCACAGACCTACATCTAATCCCCAGGCTCTACCGAAGATTTTTAATACACTATCTGAGAACTACTATAACACGTAACAACCTTACACAGAGGTAGGTACTTCTCCTTACACTTGTAAGGATTCACTCCTTTTACACATCATAAGGTTACAATCTAATCATCAGAATGAAACTCAAACAATTCTTCTTTCAAGGAAGTGATAAATGATTCTTAAGCACATAAGAAACTCTTCTTTCTATCTCACAATTATATGTGTATAATCTCTGAAACACAATAAAAGAGAGTATTCTTTTGGAGCTCTAAATAAAGATATGTTGATTTGGCTTTCAGCACTTTGACATTGTGAGCTCATGTTCTCTTCATTTTTCTTACTTTATATGCTCTTTCTATTTATAGTTGATATTGGAGATTTGACCATTGAGTATCTTCTTCCCATTTGGCTTGAAGAATATGACTGTTGAAACTACCTAGTAGAAGCTTCTGACATAAAATAGCTAACCATTGTCATTTTTCTGTTGAGCAAGAGATCCTGCATTAATCTTGCTCAAATATGTCATTAGAAACTCATATTAGCAAAGATAAGTAAATGATGATCAATAATCAACTTTCAAACAAATAAATCTCAATTAGCTTAAAGAATCAAATATCAGAACTGAAAGACTATTTATCGATGAAGAACTCAACAATCATTATTATTGAAAATCTTAGCAATAAACGTTCAATGCTATGAAAATTGAAGTAAATGAGAACTTGAAGTTCATTTTTTATAAACAATTTTATTGAAAAACTTATCGATAATCTAATTTTAGAGATTAAAATTATTGCCACCAAACTTATTGATAAACTAATGACTGAAAACTTACAAAGTTCTTGTATTTATCAATAATCTTATCAATAAAAGGATTTATTGATAATTTTATCGATAAATATCAAAGAGAAAAAATTTTAAAAAATATATTTCAAAGTTAAACAAAGCAACTTACCGATAACCTTATTGATAAATAAGATTATTGATAAGCTCATCGATAATTACTATTGAAAATCTTTTGATGAAATTACAAAAAGCTTATCTTGGAAAATATTATTGATAAGGGATTTGCTAAAAGTAAGACTTACAAAGATTTCAAAACTTTCTTATTGAAGTCTTTGATAAATAAAAAATTTAGATTTAAAAGAGATAATCAAACATTTTGAAATTTGAGTACAATTATCGAAGTCATTATTGATAAATTATATTATCGATAAACTTATCGATAAATGATTTTTTTTCTTGAAAAATCATGAATTATTGAAAAGCTTATCGATAATTGAAATTATTGATAACTTTATCGGTAAATATTGATGCAAACAGAATGAAGATCAAATTTGAGTGACCAAAAATCCTTCAATTCAACTCCAAATGCTGCAAATTTAGCAAGAATCTTTTAAGTCTACTTTCCAACGCAATAAGTCCCACTCCAAAATTCATTGTAATTTCAAAGTTATTTTTATCACATTGACCAAAGATCGGGGACAAGGTGTGAAAGCTCAGTACCATATTTTGACTAGCATATATCCTTCATATGAAACTCATTGGAGTTGATCTTGGTATCCATAAATCAAGTTTTGAGTCTAGTTTCATATGAATTAAGTTTAACCTCAAACAGATTTTTGGTTTAGGAGATATTGTAGAAATACCAAATATATATCAAAGCTGAACAAAGAATAGAGCATAACAAAGTAGTGATTTTTCAAAAAAGTTATGGATAAATGTGTTTATTGATAATGAACTCAAAAGACACATGTAAAAATCAATATATGCTGATATAACTTTTAACTGGGCTACTTTAACTTCCAATTGAGTCACTTCAACTTCTTGTTGAACATAGTAACCTTCGATACTAAATCTAAAAACTTAAATCTTGATATTCTCATTTGATCTTACAAGTTCTTATTTCTTCTATCTATGTTCTTCTTTTACATCAATCTCATGATAACTCCTTTCTTTTCTTAACCAAACTATACAAGATAATCACATTAAGTATAGTAGTTAGTCAATACATAAGATAAACATTTGATTTCAACTTTTTGCTATAATATTTGATATCATCAAAACTAATCATGTCTAATAATAGTAATTAAGCTTTCCTGCTACTCAATTAGGTTAGAAAAGTTACAATTTTAGAGCGAGTTAAGGTTATTAGGATATCTAAACACCCAACTTTTGCATCTTCAGTTTTATATTTTATTAATGAATTGAAATTGTGAATTTTCTCATGTCTTCTAAGTGGCTTGTGTTATGTGTCATATATACATTTAAGTAGCATGAGATTTTTTTTGGTTAGCTTTTGTATATTGAATATTTGGGTATTTTGCTGTGGCAATTTGCATCTAAACTACTTGTGCAAATCCGCATGATGAGAGTAAAAGCTGAAAGAAAAAGGGAAATACGCATATCACTTTCATACTTATTAGAAGTCATTGGCAATATAATCTTGCATACTAAAGAATACATTAAATTAACAAAAATTTTCAATTTTACCCTTATTAAAAAAATTTTCTTTCTCTCTACATTTACCAATCATTCTCATACTTTTTCCCTTCTTTCTCTCTTTCCAACAAAAACTAAATAGGGATAAAATCAAAAAACAAATATTAAACATACTACAAGCGACTTACATTTTTCTTATAAACTGAATACTATCTGCAAAAATTCGAGTGACTAAGGTCCTTTTTTTGAGTTTTTTGTTTATTTATTTGAAAGCAGTAAATCTACTCATAAGGAGTGTAGGAGGAAATAGATTTATGTGAAAATCAATCAGATGACGTTGAACTGCTAAAAACATTTACTCTACCGGGTTTGGTTTGAATGACACCCATTTGCAATCTTTCATTGTTAGTGGACACACTAATCCAAAAAGTTTCTTCAAATTTTGGACATACAGGGTAGTGATTTCATTTCAGAAAATATGTGCTTCATCACAAACTTTCTCAACTATTGAACTTTCATTAGAGAAAATTTCTCAAGAATTAAAAGAAGTTAGACTAAGAATATACTTTTGCAACAAAAAAAAAAAGGTCTTTAAAAGTAATAGGAAAATAAACCATTGAAGCTCCAAGCTCATGATGATCACTTTCATAACAAAGCTCCAAATACATCATGCTCACAGAAAAACAAGGTTTCGTTAGGGGTCAACATCAATAATAGCTGAAAAAGTTTATGCTGCCTACATTTAATTCTTAATATAAGAATTAGTTTGACTTTCAATTGACTTCTAAAAACAATACTCCAATCCATTTTGTCTCTCACATTTATTTATTTTTTGAAGATAGTTCTTTTAATAGTTGCACATGTTATATATTTTATCAAATGACATTTAATTAGTAAGAATGTTTTAGAAAGAATAACGCCTATTTATTATAAATAACTAACTTAACTAATTTTTTTAAACTACACAAATTAGTAAACTAGTTCTTATAGTAAAGGCTAGAGATAATATTTGTTTGCAAGTACTTTTATAATTTTTTTCTTGTTTGTCATTTATTCACGTAATGTTTTTCTTCCTTCATATGAAATTTTTTTATGGTTAAGAAGGAATTGGACCAAAAAGAAAGCCCCATACAGCTTTCATGACAAAATATAAGATTTTGGTTATGGGGTCAGCATTAATAAGACAACCAAAAAGCTCTTATTTGTTTACAAGAGCATCTATTTTATTCCTCTTTATACTTCATATATATATTTATCTTAATATGAAAAAAGATAGAGCTTGAAGAAAAACATAAAGCATTGAAATTGCCAGGGTATAAGATGTGAAACAACAAGACAAGCTAAGATGCATAAACTTCAAATTGCTGACCAAAATGAGTATAATGTCAAAGTAATGATGCTTCCTTTTATAAGGAGAGATAGATTTCAACTAAAATAGATTAAAAAAAAAGCATAGGATCTTGACATCTTGAAGAGCTAAATTCATCCCAGCAAGCTGGTTCTGAGATTTGGATGAGTAACAGTAGGTATGAGTTATGCAGAAGCTCACATGTTGCCTGACACATCAACTACTAATAACCAATTCATTCTAAGACATAAACTGATAACAACTAACCTTATCTTGCAATAAATGACACAAAACATCCTAAATAATTGACATAAAACATAATTTAGATAGCCTAAACATGTAAGTGTAGTGCCTTTTCTTGGAATACACCAGCAAAGGTTGCTGAACCTAGCAAAATGATCTAGAGATGGCCCAAACGCATTTGGTCAAGCAATATTGCCACTTACAGGTATAACTCTTGGTACCCCAATAGGTTCTCCAATCAGATTACATTTATCAAGGACCATATTCAGCTCAATAATGATGATAATCTTGCAACTTTGGCCAACTTTGTAAATAAACTCAGTCAACTTAACAATAGACCCCTTTTGCAATCTCCCAACATGGACCAACTTCTTGTTCTGAGTAGCAAGCATCCCTTATTGGTAATGGGAACCATCTGATAGCAAAAGCTTATACCTTTCTGTGTTGTTATGCTCTTGTAACTGCACCAACTTCAAGTCAATCACTTGAAGTATAGGCTTTAGGTCCTCGCAAGAGTAATAGTCACTCATCATCCTCCTTATCGCTCCATTGGTGAGATTTGCAGCCATTAGAAAGTCAGAACTGGGCTGCTTCATTGGAATGGCAAGTGCATGGTTAAGGCTCAACATCCCTCTTGGTATCTCAACCAAGAAAGTCTTCATCTCAACCAGGTGAGTCTCAAAATGGTCCATACGTGTTGTATATTCATAGTCTTTATGATTGCCCAACTCTGTTAAGCTTCTAATTTCATCGAAAAGGTCTTTTAATTTAGTGTCTTCTGCCATCAGACTCTCGGTAAAAGCACCTATGTAAAAAACACCCTTAATAATATAGTAAAAATAGATAGAAAATACTAAGGATTAAACGGATAAAGAAGCTAACTGCAATTCTCCATTGAAATTCATATGGTAGACACACACACACACACACACACACACACATGTTTGTAGCGCATATATCTATCACAAGTTCGCCCATTCCTTTCCCAAACCATATTTCCTCTTGGCTGATAATAAAATCCTGCATCATGATAGCCAACTCTTAAATAAAGAAATTAGGTATGTTTTTCTCATATTTCTATCACAAAAATCTAGTGCCCAGTAGATAATTATTTCATCTATTAAACTCCGAAAAACAAAAAAGAGATCAATGGTGCGTCAAACTCACCTTAATCGCAAACACATCAAAAAATGGAAAAGGCGAGAGTGACACCTTCCTACACAGTAACAACAATCTGGAGCAAGAGTGATTATAGGATAACACTTAGGAACAAAACTTCACTAATAAACATCGGAAGTATCAATGAATTATAACCCAATAGTTATCAAATCGCGATAACAGAGTGCTCTTAACAGTAGCTAACAAATAACATTAACATAATGTATACTAGCCGAGTAAGTGATGGAAAAAAAACACAATTGTATTCAAGCCTATGAGTTATAGATAGAGAAAATATTTTCTCACTGCCCGTGATAATTTTTAAGAAAACAAAACAAGCATATGACAGAAGTTAAATAGTACAAGAAATACCAAAATTATTAACAACCCTCAATGCAAGGGTAAAAGCCACGGGTCATCTAGACCAAAGAAAATCATAACTTCACTATGATCAAAACAGAGTATAAGAGAGTCTCAATCAGATACATAAAGAAGTACAAACAACTAGCTAAACAACCAAAACTACAAGCTTACAAAAGAAAATGAATAGCTGAAAAAGAAAACCCGAACCAGATGCTGTAGGACAAACTCAATCTCTCTCACACTGGGCATCAGATCAATGATCCGACCGTTGCAAATAACACACTAGATGTTGTGAATTAAAATAGTTTTCTCTCTTCTTTTCTCCCTAAATGGTTGCTATTCTGCCTTAAAATAAGACCTCGCCCATAACCCTAATCTGCTCCTTCTCCACCTTAATAAGTCAGACTCAAATGACCTTGAAATATTGGGTCTTTTTCCACAAAGGAAGGGAGTCCAAACCCAACAGTAAGATAGATTCAGATAGAAGAAGAGGAGTCTTTAGGGGGAAAAAAAAAGCAAAGACGCATCATGAACGAATAACAAACACAAACATGGGACGGAGAAGGACCTAAGTTGCAAACAGAGTGGAAGACGGCCAAACTAGAGAGAAGAGAAGATATATAATATTGAAATCGAGTCAAGGCTTATTGAAAAGTGGATGCTCAGGATGTGTTTTTAGAAAGAAGCTGATGATGTGGTAGAATAGGATGCCTAAAGTATTAGTTGCCTGAAATGAAATACTCCTCTGGTCCTATTTATAGGATAGAGAGATTTTTTAGAATATATTTATAGGGCAGAGAGATTTTTTAGAATATAAAATTTTTTTGTATGGATGTAAAATTTTACCTATCATTTATTAGTGTTAACTTTTTATATGAGGTATAACATATGTTAAATAGGAATAAAGTTAAAAAGTTGTTAAATTTTAAATGAGAGTTAATGAAATTTAGTGGGCTTGCTATCGTGTTTGATAATTCTTGTATTCTTTTAAAAACTTAGTGGGCTTGCTGTTGTATTATATAGAATGGATTTAAGTATGCCAGTTGAACAATTTACAGAGTTGTTTAATTTTGAGCATTAATTTTATGGAACAACACAAGGAGAAATTGTGCCTTTAAACTTAGAGAAAATTGTATCAAAAAAACAATGCCAAAAAAAATTGTAAATAGGGATCCATAACAATATATTAATATGGGTTTTGACAGTAATTTTTGTGAACGAGTCTCTGTGTGTAATTTTTCTATTTCAGTAATTTTCTTTTGTGATTTTCTCTTAAACTTTCACAATTACTCTGTAACTTGTGGGCTAAGCTATGCATTGTTGTTTTGTTTCTTTCCTTTAATGGTTTTCATCAATCAAGCTTGCTGATCAGAATTTAAAAAAAAAAACCAAAAAGAAAAAGATGCAAGACGGTTTTGAAAATTAATGAGAAGAATTGTCAACTACCCCTATGATCTTATTTATAAGTCACTTTCAGTATGTTTCATACAAATCAAAAAAAATATCAAATTTCATTAACTCTCATTTAAAATTTAACAACTTTTTAACTTTATTCCTATTTAACATATGTTATACCTCATATAAAAAGTTAACACTAATAAATGATAGGTAAAATTTTACATCCATACAAAAAAATTTTATATTCTAAAAAATCTCTCTGCCCTATAAATATATTCTAAAAAATCTCTCTATCCTATAAATAGGACCAGAGGAGTATTTCATTTCAGGCAACTATTACTTTAGGCAATTATTTTCATTTAGTTCTAAATCTTTATCATTTATTGTAATCACATTTAATTATATTTAATTTTAAAATATTCTGCTTATTAATTATTAGGATTAGGTTGAGGGCTATAAATAATATCAAGATTCTAATATTAGCAGTGAGATTTGAATTCATAATTTTATTATTGGGTCATGGGTCAACTATTTACTAACTTGATCAACTTCGTTAGGAGTACAGTGTATTAATACATTGGAAAATTATATGTTTCACATCCTGACAAAACCCGCCGTGGCTATTGAGAGCTAACGACACGAAATTTCATCGCAAGTTTTAGCAAAATCTGACATGTCCTTTTAACCCCCATGAACTTGGTGCGAAATTTCCTTCCTTTTTTTTTTTTTAATAATTAAACTTGGTGCGAAATTTCGAACACGAGATGTTTGATGAAAGAATTATGCAATGTCATCTGCAGATCATTGGACAAACTTCTAGAGATGATTTTACATGTCATCTTGCATAGCTTGATTGATTTTGTTAGATTTTGAATCGGGTATGCTTTTGATGGGTCAGATTATTTGATTAGCAAATTAGAAAAAATCTTAATTAAATAATATTATCAAATAAGATTATATTTCGATTCACTGAGCCAATTAATTGGAATAATCACTAATTAAATATACTATAAATTAAATAAGTGATTTAATTTATTTTATTCAGATCATCTATGGAAATGCATATGATTATAATATTTATGAATTAAATCAAGAATTTAATCCAAAATAAATTGAAATAGAAAATATGTGATAAAGATTTAAATCAGTTTTGAATTCAAATCACTATCTTAGATTGAGATAAAAAGATATTAAGAATATATCTGAATTAATAGATATTGTGGATATTTTACCTTCTCAAAATGTTCCTGCTATTAAGCTCTAAATAGACACTCTCATGTAAGCACTTCTAGTTTATATTTATATTTTCAACAAATTTGAGGGATGTGATCACGTGGTTTCTAACTAAAGTTCTTATTGCTTAATGCTACTATAAAAAATAATTTTGATTTCTTGCGGAAAGTGGACACATTGATCACGAATTGTTTAGGTCTTTCCTGCAACAAAATAACTGGTTATAATATTGTTAACAAAACAATGACTTAAATATTTTAACGACACCTTTTTGGGTAAAACTTTCAGTAGCACACATGGAGATTAACTACCACTTAATTTTTGTGGAGATTGGCGTCATCGTATCATAGTTTCGGAATAAAAATTATTGTCGTGTGGGAGGCAACATTTTCATTTAGTTCTTTATTTAATTATCATCACTAAATTTCTTTTCATAATATAATAAACATGAAAAAATAATTCTCTTCAATGAAGCCATTTTTCTTGGCAAAACAAATTATTTCTACTTTAATGTTATATTAACTTAAAAGTATACCAAATAATTGCTTGAAAAACTTTTACTAGTATCAATATCGTATAATTGTAAAATCCAGACCTCGCAATGCCCAAAATAAATATCTAGAAAAAAGGCACATAGATATCTCTCTATATATCATTAACATTCCTAGAATCAACTTGCAATTTTTTCTTGAATACGTTTACAATAACTAAGCAAATAAGAAAAAAGAAGGGATTAAAAAAATCAAAATCTAATTCACTTTTTTTCTACTATAAAAAAATATTCATAATATTAGGGATACAAATTCACTGAATTCTTGTGAGGCATCCTCTTTATCCCCAGCATATTTATTTTAAGGATGATCACAAACCCGAGTTATAAACCTGCATAAATCCCTTTTTGAATATCATGGAACACCTTTCTCTTACAAATCATTAATCATCATATGATTATCATTTGGTCCAATCAAACAATCCAGCGCGGTCCAATGAAAAATTCCACATCAAGGCACCTTCAAGGTTAACACGCGGTCAGGAATAGGGCCAGCATCACAGTGAACTCTTCGTATGTGAAATTTCATAGAAATTAAAGCGACACGATCCAAACAAAAAGGTTCAACGCAAATTGGCCAGGAAAATAGATTGTTATAAAGAGACCAGAACGGCAAGGAAGCTTTACAATGCCGAGGAAACAACTATCCCTTTCAATGTTCAAGCTGTAAACTGATAGAACTGATTATGCCTAAACAAAGTGCTTAAGCCTCCCCAATCTGACGTGGCAGTCACTTTATGTTCCCACCGTAACAAAATATATCACAATACCAATTATATGTCGGCCGCAAGGAAGTTACCGGTCAGTGTAACCTGCATAAAATTAATTCATGATGCAAAATCTGAAATAAGATAGAACCGTCCTTCTAACATTAGGATCTGTGATTTTTTCTATTCTCTGTTTTCTTAGTGAAAACCTTCTTCCCTACTAAGACAAATTCACTAAAATTCACAGGAGAGGATCCATGGTCAACCCAAAGAAATGACACAATAAATTCCCAGAGGGTTGGAGAGTTACAAGAGTACCTTTTCACCCAATTTGAATGGACGAAGGCCCTTGTAAGGGCAGATGCTGCGCCTGAAAGCATCTCCTAAACCACACTGCAGGTTAGAGAAAACTGTAAGCGCAATGGTGACCATGAAAAACATCAAAGGAAGATTATTGATTTGAGTGTGACACATGAAGGATGAATTATTCCCACAATTCGTATCATGGAGTTTGTCCATTAATTGCAAGTCCAAATTGTATATTCCCCAATAATAAACAGATCAGAAAATCAGCTAACCTTGGATAATATGTTGCAACAACAGGCAGGCAAAGATTAATGATACATCATGCATTCCATCATTGTTACAAGGACTTGCAATCTCTAATTCCTTATTGCAGAACCCCACACACACACACACACCCCCCTGAAAAAACAAAAATTACTTCATTTTAACCATCCTAGGCTCCTGTAGATCATCTGCACTAAAGCTCTGTGACAGGAATTTTCAAAATACCAAATCACTAGTCAGACTCAGAACTGAATTTATTCATCTCATACTCCTAAACAACACAGAACTAAAAATTAGCGGTTTTTGTAACAGCAGAGAAAACAGACACCCCAAATTCCAATTGAAGGTAACATACGCTGAAACAGAATACTTTCCAAAAAAAGACATACATTGCCACAAGCTGATTGAGGATTATTGATCTGTTCTGCACTCAATCCTAACTTCAATACTTTCTCTTCTGCTTCAGCCCTTCCACAAGTGCAGTTTTTGCATGCTTTTCTTGTTCTTCCAACTTCACAATCATCTATTGCACGAGCATGTTACTAAATACAAGGGAAGAAAACCAATAAAACAGCAATGAAACTAGAAAAACACTATTTACCAGTTGGCAGTTGGGGTTTCTTCAAATCCTCTTCAGTCAAAAGACTATCTTCATCTATAAGGTCTAAATCATCATCAATTTGCACTTTGGGTGGAGTCTTCACTGCCTTTTTTAGGGCAAAAGAAGAACCAATTTTCCATGAAGGCTTTTTTGCTTTAATCTATGTGCAATGCAA